TCTTCTGTATATTTTCCTTGTTTTTATTGTCCTTTACACATCCATATTTCATAATACCAATTTGCCAATTCCCAGTTTTTTTTGTTTTTGCGTCGCCGTTGTCGTTTCGTTTTGGGTTGGGCCTTTTTGGATTCATTGGTTGTTAGTCTGAGTGTGGTGTGTTGGAGTTGTTGGCGAATGACTCAGTTCCCGGCTTTCCAACCTAATGCTTTAGGCCAGAAGATGCAACCAGCTTGGTTCTTTTGTTTTTATTTTTCGTTTTGAGTTGCAGCATAAGTGGTGGTGCCTACACTTTAAAAGATTTTATATTTGTTCGCTTCAAGCTTGGCTAAATAATGTGTGAACAAAATCTAAATGCGTATGAAAAACGAAATCCATTTAGTAGAAGTTCTGTTTCTATGATAGTCGACAAGAAATTTAGGTTGGGGTTTAGTGTAATAATTTAGGGTAAATTTTATTTTATATTTTTACTAATTAATAGGAAATTGTCTTTAGAAAACGAGATATCAAATTGTAAACTCAAAGATTGGAAAAATCGGCAAGTGTCTCAAATATACCGAAAATGAGGCAGAGCCTTTATATAGGGTATATGTGAAACCTGTGAGCGGAGCTGTATAGTCAGACGGGGGACACTATGTGCTACCCTACACAACTACCACGAAAATCAAACTATTCTGAGCCTGGACAATATTTCGTGATATTTCCACCCTCTTGGCCGATTATATGTTAACAGCTTCACTTTCTAACCCTGGCATTTTTTTCCAAATCTTGTTTTCTCAAGGTGAATATTTACGCTATGAAATAACCATTTGGTCACTTTAGGTTTTGGTTGAATTGAACCTCGGACCGAGGGTTCGATGACCGATCATCATCTAAACAACCATTCTAAGTATTTGGTCAGATCCCCTTCACCATGTGATGTTCTGCTTATAATAATGCCCCCTAGAGCAACCCTAAATAACATCTCAACATCACCGAAAATGATAGGCATCGTCCTTGACCATAATCGGAACTCCATTAAATCCCTTGAATTTTAACCAACCATTATGAAAAAATAGGGGTCTTCTGTGGCCAGAACACATCCTTCATGCGAAATTTCGTAAAGATTGGTCCATAACTATGGCCTGTATCGTGTTTACCAATTATAATGGACAGACGGACGGACGAACACACATGTCTAGATCGACTCAGTTATTCGAGATATGATCGGTATACTTAAAGGTGGCTCTAGGACCAATATTTCGCGGCGTTACAAACTTTCAGGGCCACACAAAGCTATAATACTGACCATCAAACTTCCTGAAATGCGGCAGGACCTTCATGTGAGACATATATAGAAAAATCACAATTTTTTCCGAATAAGTTTTATACCCTCCAAAAATAGACCTAGGGCAATGAATGTACCTATAATGGGGGCAACATAAAGACATGGACCTATATTGAAAATTTCTACGAAAAAAATCTTTAAGCACCCACCCCCAAGTATCCAGAATGCCAAATGTAAACCACATCGATTGACAAATGTGCATATGGCCTAAAATGAGGCAAGACTTTCAAAAAAATGGACCAATATAAACGAGCATGTTTTTTTACCCTCCAGGATTCTGTAATACCACATTACAGTGAATTCAGATGAAAATTGAGTAATATGGGTCGATATCATTAATCATTTCAAGCCATGGATCCATATACCCTCCAAGAAAAATGAAAGGACATAAAGTGAGGCTATATAAAGGCATGGACAATTTTACCCACCAAGGAACCGAACATCAAATTCCAACATTTTGGGTTGAAAAATATGCCTAGGACAGCAGACTTTAAATCTGACCGATTTTTATAATGATGGGTAATGTGAAAACATGTACCTATGTTAACAATTTTGGCAACTATGATTTTCGCCAAATTTACAAAATTCAAATAAATTTTTAATTTGGTCCTATGGTTTGGTTTATACTTCTTATACTAATGGTTTTGGGGTATACCGTTTGAATTTTGAATGCTGATCCGAAAAAAACTATTTAAGGACTTTTTAACATACATTATGTGGTCTTTTTTATAGAAGAAGTCTTCTTTGTTTAGAGTAGCTGTAGGGTTCTTCTTATAGAAGAGCTGGAGGTCTTCTTATTTTAGAAGAGCTGAAGGTGTCTATATTAAAACGGCCAATATTGACAAACATTCGCTAGAATTGTAACAGAAGGACAAATTCAATTCCCATTTTTGGGAAAGGTGTCATCGGTATCTCATGACATTCTCCTACTATTTCTCTTTTTACATACATTTTGGTCCGAAGATTTTTTTTAGAAAAACAACACTAATTATCATACCACCTTCGTATCGAATTCCCATCTATATAATTTTAAGTAACAATAAAACAATGCCTTTTCAGAAAAAAAATTTCTTAGGATATTTTTTGTTTTGCATTTTGGAAATAGATGCATTCAGCATCCAACAGATGAGGCAATGTCAATTCTCCCGGATGAATAAGGCATAAAAAGGTGGCAAGTGAGACTGGGACTAGTGCTGGTGGTACTTGCTGTTGTTGTTCTTGTTGTTTTGGAATACGCCCAAGGTATTTTAGCGTTATGAGCACGCGCAGTCTCCGTTGCCGTCATCGTCTAAGATATTAATTTAAATTCAAGCAGTCAAACCACACCACACTGATGTGTGTTTGATGGCACAGGGAAACCGCTTTTAAATTGTAATACTGCAGTTTCCAGCCAGCTTGCAACATGGGAGTAAAACTATGGCCAGGTTGTGTGTTGTGCTGTGTTGTTTGTCAGTCAGTTAGCTATTTTTTCTTGGTTTTGAGTATTCATAAAATGCGTAGGCGAACTCGTTCAAGACAGTTACCATGGCTAAAAGACAGTCAGATACAATAGATGGATAGATACATGGTTAGGAAGGCTTACTGACTGTGGGCTGTAGACAGTTAGTTTTGTTGTTGTTGCTGTGTGGGGAAAATGAGAGGAGAAAAGTTACAGATGTAATAACACGATCAACATCTGAGCACAGCCAGAAGAGCAATGCAGCAATGCAATTGCATGTATGTTTGCAGATTTTGCTTACCAGGCAACTACATATGTAGCAAGCTAGATTACATACATAGCTACACAGTGTAGTTATTTATGTTTGTATGTTAGCATGCATGAGCTAGGATCATTTCTTTGGTTGTTAGTGTTGTTGTTGCTGTTTTATTTTTGTGATCAATTGATCATAACATCTTTGGGGTATTTTGATTAGTGTTGGTGGCTTGGGGGCTCTGAAAATCAAAAGAAGAAAAAATTGAAACATGTCCGTGTGGCGGCTATTTGGCTAAAGTGTGGGAAAGTTGTGAACAACAAAGCCAGGCGAACTGTTAACGATCTTTGATGTGATAACCACACCACATCACACATCAGCCATCAACCACCGTGGTGCATCCAAGGCATCTACGTAATGTGGACATGCTTGATAAACGCCGTGATCTCGGGCTAATATCCATGAGCGCATGCCTATTGAAGCGTAACATTTTTCACAAGAAAATCCGTTTGTGTTTTTTCATTCTTCATTCCCCACAAATGGATTCTTTTACCACAAACTTAATATCCGATTTTGTGGGAGATATTGATGATCCGTAGATGGCAATGGATTTTGGATTTGTTTGCTTTTGGGGAGAAGTAGTTGGGGTGGCGTATTTGATTTAAGATTATTGACAAATTTAGTTGTTTTCGTTGAAGCTGGTGTCGGCGGTATTCTCTGTGTGATTCGGTTTTTGAGGCCTTTAATCTTTGTTTTGATGCTTTCAGCCAGGCATCTGAGTATTGTTTTGTTGTGTGCGGCTTGGGGTTTTTCAGTGGGCCCAAAAGGCATTTATCTTCTTCTTATTCTGCTTCGTTTTTTCCTTTTAATTTTTTTTTCTGTTCCGCTGTCATCTGCCTACACATTTCCACCAAAAAACACTCCACCATCCCTGCCATATAACCCTCTCCAGATTTTAAAATAAATGAATTCATGTATTGCCTTGTAAGGAAATTGGCCTTTTAATAAGATTTTCTTGTAATTGTTGTTTGGTGTGACCATGTTAAACATTGAACAGAACAACAACAAAAGAACTTTAATGACAGTGACATGTTATTGTAAACAAATCTTTCCTTCCTTCGTTCGTTCGTTCGCTCTTTCTTTAGATTTTTACCCTTTCAATAAGCCTTAAGCCGAAATGCATATAACAAATATGCATGTACATGTACATATGTTTGTCTGTATGTATGCTTAAGTGACAAGCATTCAAATTTCTTTAGTTCTTTGAGACAGCGAAGACAGTGAAGTGAAATGAATTGTTCGACACATTTTGAAAGTTCGAAGCTATTTATGTTAACGTAGAATTTTAAATAGTCCTAATTTTAAATTAATTTTCTTATAGAAAAATCTATGAAGCTTCTATTCTAAGAACATTTCAAATTAGTTTTAAATAATTCCTTAATTTTTATAAAATAAGGATTTCGGTATTTGAGATATTTTACTTCTTCAGTAGTGGCGGTTTATTTGGGATACCATTTGTATTTTGTTTTTGCAAAATATTTTATTTCTTATTAAATATTTACAATTTAAAAAAAAAATTCACACGTAATTAAAATTAAGAAAAGTTATTTTTTATTAATTGTCAATCTAAAAAGTATACATATATTGAAATTTCAAAATTAAAATTTACATCCCATTGCCACACTGTGCAATGTCATAAGAAATCCTTAACATACATTTATTTTAAAATGTCATTCATTAATTATTTTCAAATAATTCATCACGTCTGTATTGTCATCTTTATGACTTTGAAAACATATATCTGTCAAATGCCTTAAAAATTGTTTGTCCCCATATTCATTTAAATTTTTCATTGTTATTTAATTAATTGCAATAACAACAATTCTCTACAATTTATTTGTCATTTATATAAATACATACATATATACCCGTTCGAAAGTAATTTATTATAATCCATTTGTTTTTTTTTCTTCTTCTTGCAGAGGCGTTCAATGCCACGATACAGTAAATGGCGCCCAATGCGATCAATGTCCACTTGGTTTTGAAGGTGATGGACGTACGTGCAACAAACAGCGTAGTCCTTGCTTAGATGGACCCTGTCCTACTGGTGAGTTTTGAACAATTTCTTTCTTCTTTCAAAAATTAATATACGTACATTATGTACAAAATTTTTTGTATATTTTTAAGATGTAGGTTGCTACAAAATTTAGTTGGTTTTTGCCCAGTATAGCTTATTTTTTAGATAATAGATATGCCATTAGTTTTCCTGTAGAACAATATTTCTCTCGAATTGGAAATATTATATATTATTCCTGAGTCCATTGAAATTCTCAGCCGACTGAGGAATATTTTTCTGTAGTAAAAATTGATCAGTCCTCTGGGGACCATTTTTTTGTAGACAAAATTCAGCAGCCCATTTTGGTCTATTTATCAATTGATGATCATCATAAAGATTTAAGGACTATTTTTCTACAGAAAAAAATCTAAAAAAATCTAAATCCTCTGTGGGGATTATTTTTCTATAGAAAAAATCCTCAATCTCAACTGAGTGCTATTTTTCTATAGAAAAAAATTTGCCAGCCCACTGAGGACGATTTTTTTATAAAAAATAATTCAGACAATAGAAATTGTCAGCACACAGAAAATTCATTTTCTATGAAAAAATGTCCTTGCTCGCTTTTTCTATAGAAAAAATTGTTCAGCCTTTGAGGATTCTTTTTCTCCAGAAAAAAAAAACAGCCAACAGAGAACTATTTTTTCTATAGAAATAAATACATCAGTTCCATCTGAGGACTATTTTTCACTTCGATTACTTAATGAGTTCCAAAAGAGGAATATTTTCCTGTAGAAAGAAATTCCTCAGCGCCAACTGAGCACTATTTTTCTATAAAAAAATTCCTCAGTCTCAAATGACGACTATTTTTCTAAACAAAAAATCATCTGTCCCACCCCAAGACTATTTTTTGTAGGAAAAAATACTCAGTCCAATTTGCGGATTATTTTTGTCTAGAAAATCCTCTGTCCCATTTGAAGACTATTTTTCTACAGAAAAAATCCTCAGTCAAATCTGAGAACTATTTTTCTACAGAAAAAAATCGTCAGTTCCATCTGAGGTCTATTTTTCACTTCAATTAATTCATCGTTCCCAAAAAAGACTATTTTCCTATAGAAAGAAATTCCTCAGCGCCAAGTGAGCACTATTTTTCTATAGAAAAGATTTCTCAGTATCAAATGACGACTATTTTCCTATGGAAAAAATCCTCAGTCCAATTTGAGGACTATTTTTCTATAGAAAAAATTCCTCAAACCCATCCTAGGACTAGTTTTCTATATAAAAAATCCTTAGTCCAATCTGAGAACTATTTTTCTATAAAAAAAATCAGTTCCATCTAAGGAATATTTTCCTATAGAAAAAAATTCCTCAGCGTCAGTCTCAAATGAGAACAATTCTCAAATATCAGTACTGAGGACTATTTTATATAGAGAAAAAAATCGCCAATTCCAACTGAGGAATTTTTTTTCTATAGAAAAAAATGTCAATGCCAGCTGTGGACTATTTTTATATATAAAATATCATCAGTCCCAATAGAGGGTTATTTTCTATAGAAAAAAACTTCAATCCTAACTGAGGATTATTTTTATCTAGCAAAAAATCGTCAGTACCAAATGAGGACTAGTATTCGATAAAAAATTCGTCAAAATTGTTAGTCATAACTATTTTTGCTATAAAACACCCCTCTCCAATGAAAAGGTTTAAATTTGTTACTCTTAAGGATTAACATTGAATGTTATCATATGACCTAATTTAACTTCAAAGGTTCCCAGAAACACTATGTCGTAAATTATATTTGAAAAAGGTCAAATTATTTATCTTCCTTTCTAAAAAAAGATCCCCCATAACGAATTCTATAAACTCATACAGGAGCATTTAGTTTTTTTTGACTTTTAAATTGTTTTCCTTTTTTAAGGTTCAAATCTGAAGTGTTAAATTGATTTTGAAAACCAGCAATTAATGTCCACCTCAATAGGGTTTTAGTAAATGATTTAGTTAAGCAATTTTTTGGCGGTCTACTTTAAAGTTTTTGCTTGTGATTTGTGAAAACGAAACAACCACAAATCATTCATGACCCTATAATTTTTTTAATCATCTTCACATTAACAACAACAGCAGCAACACCACCAACTTTGGCATAATTTCTTTTACTAATACGCAATTTTGTGAATTTTTATAGGAAGCCTTGTAGTGCCAAGCACAAATGTTCAACATTATCAGAGGCATTATAGTTCATCGCGTAAATATTCGGTAGTGACATCATAAGGCGAAGAATAATCGGTTTGGTAATCAAACCAAAAAGAAAATCGATTTGTACCGTCTCTCACAGCATAAAAAAGCAGCTTAAATGGAATTTTGCAAAACAATTTCTAATGATATTCTTCTCTGCACAATTTTGTCTATAAAGTTGTGGCATAGTTTTCCCTCACTTTGTAATTTTAGTTTAATAATTAAAATAACTAATTTAAATATTATAACTATGGATCGATTGTGGACATCAATCAAATGGAATTTTAAAAAATGATTTAAAATTTACATGTTTTTGTTTTGTCCATAATCCCGCCATAAATAATTATTTGCAAAATTAAAAAAAAATCGTTCACTTCCTCCCACTCACCCACTTATTTAACTTTAGTTATACAATGAAAGTATTATTTTATCCCAAAATAAATGACGAAGAAGAAAACGAAAACAAATCGAATATTAATATAATACATAAATAATAGTAATATATATATATATATATATATATATATTTTTTGTAACAAATAATACTTAATTTTATTTAAATATCAATTTAAATTTTCCTTAACATTAAGCCACACCAGAAAGTGGAGATTATATTTTTGTAAATTAAAAATTAAGTCGAAAAACAATTCGAAAACAAAAAAATATTTTGTAATTAATTTTATATTGTCATGTAAAAAAATATGTATTTTAAAAAACGTAATAATAAAAACGACAAAAAATTATTGGTACAGAAGCAAAAAAACGTTATAATTTTTTATTTCGAAAGGAAGTTTAGACCACAACCACCATGACCACCACCCGTTCCATTGTTGGCCAATGGGATCAATGGTAAATATTTTTTGTTGTCCACATTTCATTAAAAAAATATTTCTAAATTCATCTGAATCATTTCTAATTTTTGGTGTTGTGTATATTTTTGTCTCTGTATGTGTGTGTGTCTTGTTTTTTGTGTAATAATTTAAAACAAATATATATTTCCATTTTCTGGTAATAAATAATAATAGTACTAATGTAGCATATTTATATGTATGTAAATGTAAATAGTATTTTAATAATTGCATGCCATTAACAAATAATGAAATTAATAACATATTATAATTGTAGTACTAAAAATAATAATAATGTAATTAACCCCTACTATCCCAATTTATTGGCATGTTGTATTAATTAATTTATCGTAAGTGGGTATAAATTAAAGCTTAACTCTTTCTCTAGCTTTCTAAAAATTTCCGTAGGCACATCTGAGGACTATTTTCTGTAGAAAAAATTCCTCAGCTAAATTCAGAGCCATACTTTTCTATACAAAAAAAATCCCATCTGAGTTCTATTTAAAAATAAAAATCTGTCCCATCTGAGGTTTATTTTTCTATAAAAAATCCTCAGACCACTTTGAGGACTATTTTTCTACCGAAAAAAATACTTCAGTCGTATCTGAGGACTATATTTCTATACAAAAAATAATTTCTCAGGCCCATGTGAGAACTATTTTTCTATAACAAATTCATCAGCCATTCTGAAGACTATTTTTCTATAAAAAAATCCTGTAGAAAAAATTCGCTGCGCAATGGAGATCTATTTTTTTCAAAAAAATATTATTTAGGACTATTATTCTATAAAAAATCCGTGGATTTTTTTAAATACTCAGCCCAATTGGGGACAATTTTGCTATAAAAAAAATCCTCAAATGTGCCAAGAATTTTCTTATGGATGCGCATAGGATTTTTTCTATAGAAAAATAGTCCTCATTTATGCAGAGGAAACAAATTCTTCAGTCCTATCTGAAAACTAATTTTCTATAGAAAAAATCCTCAGTTCCCTCTGAGGACTCTTTTTCTATAGAAAAAAGTTCAACACCATCTATGGATTATTTTCCTATAGAAAAAATTATAAGCCATACTGAAGACTATTTTCACAAAACAATTCCTCAGTACCATCTGTGTAATACTGTTCTATAGAAAAAATTCTCAGTATCATCTAAGTACTATTTTTCTATAGAAAAAATTCCTCAGTATCATTTGAGGACTATTTTTCTATAGAAAAAAATCGTCAGTATCATCTGAGGACAATTTTTCTATAGAAAAAAATCGTCAGTTACATCTGAGGACTACTTTTCTATAGAAAAAAATTCCTCAGTAACACCTGAGGCCTATTTTTCTATATAAAAAATCCTCAGTACCACCTAAGAACTATTTTTCTATAGAAAAAAATCCTCAGTACCATCTGAGGACTATTTTTGTATAGAAAAAAATTCCTCAGTACCATCTGAGGACTATTTTTGTATAGAAAAAAATTCCTCAGTACCATCTAAGGACTATTTTTCTATAAAAGAAAATCCTCACTTCCATCTGAGGACTCTATTTCTATAGAAACAATTCCTAAGTTCCATCTGAGGACTATTTTTCTATAGAAAAAAATTCTTCAGTACCAAATGAGGACTATTTTTCTATAGAAAAAAATTCCTCAGTACCAACTGAGGACTATTTTTCTATAGAAAAAAATTCCTCAGTACCATCTGAGGACTATATTTCTATAGAAAAAAATCCTCAGTATCGTTTGAGGACTAATTTCCTATAGAAAAAATCCTCAGTATAGTCTGAGGACTTTTTTCTATAGAAAAAAATTCCTCAGTATCTTCTGAGGACTATTTTTCTATAGGAAAAAATCCTCAGTACCATCTGAGGACTATATTTCTATAGAAAAAAATCCTCAGCATCGTCTGAGGACTATTTTTCTATTAAAAAGGTTCTCTGCTCTTTTCCTATAGAATTGAGGACAATTTTCTATAAAAAATGTTCTATATGAGGACTATTTTTTTCATCTGTCCAATCTGAGACTTATATTTCTATAGAACAAATTTCTCAGGGTACTACTTATCTAAAGAAGAGGTTTAATTAAAAAAATCATCAACCCCATTGTAAAATATACTAGCATATGCTTGTTACTTCGCTAGCGAATGTGGGAATTATTTAAGATCCAATACCGACCACAATTAAAATTTTAGTACCATTTAGTTCCTATGTTCTCTTATAGTACGTATTTCCATAACTACCTCCATATCTCTACACTACACACCGATTCAGACCGCATCAGAAATTTAGCTCAAATATAGCTTCACCCAAATCGATATAGGTTCACTACCTACATTAATAATCATAAGTAAGAATTTTCAGTATTCCAGCTCTATCTTTTCGTACACATTAGTTCAAATTTCCAAATCTACCTACATATCCCAGTGATCCTAACTCTACATTTCAGGATTTCAGCTCTATTGGTTCACCAAAAAATTCAAATTGTGCCAAATTTAGTACACATAAGTACGAATTACCCAAACTACAAATATATCTCAATTCTACACTCCAACAGTAATCCTAACACCAAATTTCAGGAATCCAGCTCCATTGGTTCAGCAAAAAAATTAAATAGTAACAAATTTAGTACACATAAGTACGAATTACCCAAACTACCAACATATCTCAGTTCTACCATGCAGTTGTAATCTTATTTACAAATTTCAGTGTCCCAGATCTATCGGTTCGCCCAAATACAAATTGTACCAAATATAGAACCATTTTGTACTTTTCGTACTCATAAGTACAAATATCAAAAACCAGCTACATGCCTCAATACACCCCGTCCGTAATATTAATTTCAAATTTCAGGATTCCAGTACTTTTCGTATACACGACTGCACACTTCCAAAACCCACCATCAATGACCCGGTAGAGTTCTAGCACTACTGGTTCGCCAAGTATAAATGGTATCACATTAAGTACATTTCGTCCCGTTCTAGTACGAATTTCCCAACACCCAGCCTTATCTGACCTCTTTGGACCAAGAGTGACCCTCACCCATATTCTAGCTTCAGACGATTTGTCGATGAATCTTTAATTCAGTCAGTGAATTTGTCGGTTAGTATAGATAGATTTAAATAAAATTTTAAATGAACATTGGTCCCATAGGCGGAACTTTTTTAAAGTATATTTACTGTTTACAAAATACCACCACATTTCTGACTAACTGAGACAATTGAATCAATTTTTATTCTTTTGAATTTTTAGAGGTCACAAAAATTGACAATTGTCATGTTGGAATATTTTAGAAATTCACACCTGTCAGATCGAGTACACATTCTAACCAAATTTACCTTGTGCTATTAAAAATCCCACTTTTTCAAGTACTAATTCTATGGAATTTTATAGCATGTAAAATAAAAAAAACACCTTGTAATATTACAGCTTCATTAACATTACTAACGATTTGTTTGGTAAATTTTTGTGTAACACCTCTTTTAACACATTTTGTTAACTGTTTGGGTAAATATTTGTCAACTATAGTGTTGGAATGTTACGATACTTTTAACAATAATTGGTTATGTTTTCGTAAAACCTATGTTCAAATATTTATTTGTAATTAGTTTAATGAGGGTGATTTGTATGTTTTGTCGTAATTTACATGTTGTCACAAAACTTACAAAATATTAAAAAAATAAACATTCGAAATATAGTTAAGACTTTAGGTCTACATTTTCCAATCAGAATGAATTTTATTCATTGTAATAGGGTTCGTAATGGATTGAAAAAATTCATTGCAACTAAAATTGTCAATATGCATTTTTAGAAATAACCTCCATATATTTTAAAAGCCTGGCCATTCTTAATAAAATTTTTATTAGACGGTATTACAGGCCTAAAATTGGCTAATATTCCCAACCAATTTCAGTGAAATATGTTTGCATTTCAATCAAAACGATTTTTCTATTTTTAAATATTCCAATTAAATCAAAATAATCACAAAAAATGTGGAGCCTTCTATTCAATTCCTTTTTTATTCAAATAATCATTTTTCTATTCCTTTCCAGGCACCAAATGTACCGAATCTGTGATTGCTCCATACTATCGTTGCGTTTCCTGTGGCCGCGGTGAACAATTGAATGGAACCACTTGTGTAGATGTAAATGAATGTGAAATGTATCGGCCATGTGATATATTGTCGACATGCGTCAATCAAAGTCCCGGGTTCCGTTGTGAACCATGTCCTTTGGGCTATGAAGGAATGCATTCTTATGGTAAGTTCCTATTTGGACTCTCACAAGAAGTTTCATTTATTTATTCTCCTTTGTCTTCTTCAGGTTACTATGCCGAGTACTGGACAAATACCTATCAACGTCAGACCTGTGTGGATATTAACGAATGTCAAACTGGCATGGCACGATGCGAAGAGAATGCTGTCTGTGTGAATACAATTGTAGGATAATTTATAAACTATTTATGTATTGTATTTTCTAAAAAAATTTTTATTTTATTCTAGGGTTCCTATCAGTGCCACTGCCGAGAAGGTTATAAACACAATGGTACCAATTGTGCCCCTGTTGCTGGCCTATGTCCGGATGGTACCATCTGCGATAGCAATGCTATGTGTTTGCTTTCGGACAATTATAAATATCGCTGTAAATGCAATGTTGGCTGGGCTGGCAATGGCTTTGTATGTGGTCGTGATCAAGATTTAGATAGTTGGCCCGATCATCAGTTACCCTGCTCGGAATTGCATTGCAATCAAGACAATTGCCCCCATCTGCCCAATTCGGGTCAAGAAGATTCCGATCATGATGGTATCGGTGATGGTTGTGACGATGATGCTGATGGGGATTTGCTAACAAATGACAAGGATAATTGCCCATTTGTCTATAATGCTGATCAATTGGATTCGGATCATGATGGTGTGGGTGATGCTTGTGATAATTGTCCATTTGTACCGAATCGCAAACAATTGGATACGGACAATGATGGTTTGGGCAATGATTGTGATGAGGATATTGACAATGACACAGTGGTCAATGCCTATGATAATTGTGTATTGGTGGCGAATACAAATCAATTGGATTTTGATGGTGATGGTATTGGTGATGTTTGCGATAATTGTCCAAGTATTTCGAATCCATCTCAAGAGGATCGTGATAATGATTTACTGGGTGATGCCTGTGATAGTGAAATTGATGGTGACAATGATGGTGTTCAGGATAGTGAAGATAATTGTCCAATGGTTAGCAATGCCGATCAATTGGACACGGATAGTGATGGAAAGTAAGTAGTGGGACCATAAGGGTATATTTTTGAATACACCAACATGGGGGATATATTTTCTTTATTTTGAAAATATTTTTAAGGAAAAACATACCTACTTCTTCGAACGTATTCATAATATTTTAAATCCTCAAAGAAATAATATTATTAGATTAAGAATGTCGACCACTATATTTTTAACTCTTCAGATTTATTTAATAACCGTTTTCCTTTTTTCCCCTAGGGGTGATGCTTGCGATGATGATATGGATGGTGATGGTATACCCAACTATCGAGACAATTGTCCATTGGCCAAAAATCCCAATCAATTGGATTTGAATAGTAAGTATCTGCTACGAACTCAAAACTCATTTTAAATCACTAAAAAATCTTCTTCTTTTCAACTCCCAGGTAATGGCAAAGGAGATCTCTGTGAATTCGATGAAGACGACGATGGCACACCAAACATAATCGACAATTGTCCAAATAATTCCATGATTTACTCCACCGACTTCCGAGCCATACGTTCCGTGATTTTAGATCCCGAAGGAGAAGCTCAACTCGATCCCAATTGGGAGGTACATGCCAATGGCTCGGAAATTATACAAACTTTAAATAGTGATCCTGGCCTCGTTGTGGGTCATGACGCATTTGGTGGCGTCGATTTCGAAGGCACTTTCTATGTCAATGATGACACCGATGATGATTATGTCGGTTTTATATTCAGCTATCAAAGTAATCGTAAATTCTATATTGTCATGTGGAAAAAGAATACCCAAACCTATTGGCATTCGACACCATTCCGTGCCTCTGGTGAACCGGGCATACAAATTAAATTAGTCGATAGTATAACCGGACCGGGCTCAATGCTGCGCAACAGTTTATGGCATACAGGAGATACCAAGGATCAGGTGCGTCTATTGTGGAAGGATCCCAAAAATATGGGTTGGAAAGAGAAGACATCATATCGTTGGTCTTTGCTACATCGTCCGGCTATTGGTCTCATACGTTTGCGCATGTTTGAGGGGGATCATATGGTCTTGGATTCGGGTAATGTTTATGATTCGACGTTGAAAGGCGGCCGCTTGGGTGCCTTCTGTTTCTCACAACAAATGATTATTTGGTCGGATCTGATATACAAGTGTAATAGTAAGTAGAACTTTTTTTGGATTTTGGTGAAATTATCTAAATGTAAAAAATCTTTTTTTGTTACAGCTCGTGTTCCTGCCTTGGTTTACAATGAATTACCCGCCCATTTGAAACATAAAGTTGAAATTGATAGATAATTTTTTTAATAAGCATTAAATTACGACGAAGGAGAATAATTGCTGGAGTTCATAAAATAAAAAGTTGAATTGAAGATGCATGGATTAGACTAGACTAAAACGGTTCTCTACTTAAAAGACATATACTGAGTTTCAGATTTTCGAACTACAGTAACCAATGGAGATAAGGATGTCATAAAAATTGGGTTATCTAAGTAGTTTAAAGCATAATGTTTGAAACAGCTTTATTTTATCCCCTTTAATACTGTATTCTGTTCTATTATTAAAACTCTCGCGTGCAATTATTCTCTTTTGTACGAATATGTATTTGAGATTTTTTATAGGTTATAGTGGTGCTTCAAGTCCTTGTCACTGTTACTTAAATAAGATACTAGATTAATAAGACTAATTTAGAACGAACGAAAAAAATATAATATTGCCATAATTAATTATATGTTATAAGTAATTAATACAATTTATAAGACGAACGAATTCGAATCCAATAAAATTGAACGATATTAATAATTTTTTATATAACAACAAAAAATGTATATGAATAAAAAGTACGAAATTGAAAAATTCGGTAAGGAGTTTCAAAAATTCGAAAATAAGTCTCAGTTCTGTGCATATTTAACAACAATACTAGGCGATATCATTATAAACTAATTTATTATCTATCTTATCTATTTCATTGAGCATTCAGATAATGCTAATTATCACTTACATGACATATGTATATATGTATAGCAAGGAATAAAACTATGGAATTCCCTATAACCATTAATGCAAAATAATACCCTTACTGTTCGGTGCTGGTCGCCTATTACGTGAAAACGAAAAACACCCCAAAAATCGATCTTGCAAAACTGGTATGAATTCTCGTTTTTCAAGATCGATTTTTGTGTGATTTTTCATTTTCAGGTAATAGGCGCCCAGCACCGAACAGTAAGGGTATTTCGGTTCATCGCTGGTTTTAAATGCAAATAACTCAGCAACTACTTGACCGATTTTTATAAATTTTGGACCAATGTATAGAGGGAATTCCACAGTTTTATTCCATTCTATTACAATACATATATACATTTGGTATGTAAGAGAGAATTAGAATTATGTGAAAGAAATGTAAAATATCCACTATTTTTGCGTTAAATGTAAACAAAGTAATATAGTCGATTGGTAGCATGTGCCATATTCTACATAAATAACAGAATTATGGAGAACCCTACTGAATATTATATTTGTATGAAAAACACAACTACATGGCCCCAATAAAACTAAAGGTTTGTCAACAAAATTAAAGTGATAATCCTATCTTCAAGGAAATTGGCTTAATTTGGTATTTCGGGCGTTTAAAAAATAAAATACATTCCAGCAGAATTTTCTTAATACAAGTCCATGACCCCGTCGTTTATGTCCAAAGATTTCATCCTGGAATAAGTAAGGGTGATAAAAATATACATTAAAAATGCGGTTAAGGTTTTCAAAAACCAAAAATAAAGTGGGACCTATGTCATGGACTTATATTTTCAAAAACAAAAATCTGCCGGGATGTATTCTATTCTGTAGAATTAGGTATGTAAAATTCCGAGATCCTCGGGCACTATACGAGCTATTGACAAATTTTAAATTGATTATTAGCTCCTGATTTTTGTTGATAAATCTTTGGGTTTAAATACAAATATACAATAAAAAAAAAATTGTAGATATTTTCCATATATATAAACTTTCATATACTTTTTTCGTAAAAATATAATAGGCTTATCTATCATTCTGCTATTTATGTACGATATAGCACATGCTATACCAATCAACTATATCGCTTTGTTTACTTACATTTAACAACAAATAGTCGATATTATACATATCTTTCAACATTCATTTTATCTGAAATAGCATATGTATATATGTATAGTAGTATGGAATAAAACTATGGAATTCCTTCTAAACATTAATGTAAAATTTATGAAAATCGGTCAAGTAGTTGCTGAGTTATTAATATTTGAATTCAACGTTGCTCCGAAACAGCCTTACTGTTCGGTGCTGGGCGCCTATTACCTGAAAATAAAAAATCACCCAATAATCAAAACTGGAAGAAAGAAACTGAATGGTTAGAGGGAATTCCATAGTTTTATTCCATACTATTGCAGTACATACATACATATGACATGTGAGAGAAAATCAGAATTATGTGAAAGTTGAACGATATGTAAATATCGAGTATTTTTTTCTTAAATGTAGACTGTCTAAATGTGGATTGTCAAAATGCCGAGAACCTTGGGCGCTATATGAGCTAGGATAATATAATTTTTTATTTGATTATCACCTTCATTTTGCTGATAAATCTTTTTTTATTGAGACCATGTAATTGAATTTTTTGTAAAAAAATAATATTTCAGTAAACTTTTCCATTATTTTGATATGTATCTATGATATAACACATGCTGAAATCGACAATATTGCTTTGTTAAAATTTAACAAAAACCTAGTTGATATTTTACATATCATTCAATTTTCACATAATTCTAAGTTTATCTTACATAACATATGTATATATTTATTGTAATAGTATGGAGTAAAGCTGTTGAATTCCCTCTAACCATTGATGAAAAATTTATAAAAATCGGTCAAGTAGTTGCTGAGTTATTTGCATTTGAAATCAGCGATGAACCGATCTACCCTTACTATTCGGTGCTGGGCGCCTATCACCTGAAAATGAAAAATCATCCAAAATCGATCTTGTGAGAGTTTCTTTCCAGTTTTGCAAGATCGTTTTTTGGGTGATTTTACATGTTCACGTAATAGGCGCCCAGCACCGAACAGTAAGGTTCTTTCGTAGCATCGTTGAATTCAAATGCGAATAACTCGGCGAATACTTAGCCGATTTTTATAAATTTTGCACCAATGATTAGAGGGAATTCAACAGCTTTACTCCATACTATTACAATACATATATACATATGTTATGTAAGAGAAACTTATAATTATGTGAAAGTTGAATGATATGTAAAATATCGACTAGTTTTTTGTTAAATGTTAACAAAGCTATATTGTCGATTTATATAGCATGTGTTATATCCTAGATACATATCAGAATAATGGAGAAGTTTACTGAAATAATTTTTTTACGAAAAACACAACTTCATGGCCTCAGTAAAACAAATGATTTATCAACAAAATTAAGGTGATAACCAAATAAAAAAAAATTTCAATAGCTCATATAGCGGCCAAGGTTCTCGGCATTTTGACAGTCATAGCTTCAAGGAAATGAGTGTAATTTGATATTTCAGGTGTTTAGAAAATAAAATACATCCCCCACTTTTTTCTGCTTTTTGGTCACCCTTATTCCATGGTGAAATCTTTGGACATAAACGACGGGGTTTAGCTATTGAACGAAAGTTGAAAGATATGCAAAGCATTATAGTCGATTGGTAGAGCCTGTGCTATATCCTACATAAATAACAGATTTATGGAAAGTCCACTGCTGGAATATTATATGTTTACGAAAAAACAAATACATGGCCTCCATAAAGATTTATCAACAAAATTAAAGTGATAACAATCAAATAAAATAGGTCATATAGCGCCCAGGGGTCTCAGCATTTTGACAGTCCTAACTTCTATATGGGTGTATGTTGATATTCCGGCAGATTTATTTAAATATAAGTCCATGATATATGCCCCACTTTATTTTCGGTTTTTTAAGACCCTAACAGTATTTTTAATGTATTTTGTATCACCCTTATTCCAGGATGAAATCTTTGGACATAAACGACGGATTTTAGCTATTGAACTTAAATATATAATGCTAATTTGCTCATATATAACATAAGTTATTATAAATATTCTTAATATATGTAATTATAGTTTAGAATTCTCTCTAACGGATGGTGAAAAATCGGTCAAGTGGTTACTGAGTTATTTGTATTTGAATTTCAGTAGGCTTATCCATCATTCTGCTATTTATTTAGGATATAGTGCATGCTATACCAATCGACTATATTGCTTTGTTTACATTTAACACAAACATAGTCGATATTTTACATATCTTTCACATAATTCTAATCTTCTCTTACATAACATATGTATATGTGTAGTATAATATGATGGAATAAAACTGTGGAATTCCCTCTAACCATTAATGAAAAATTAATAAAAATCGGCTAAGTATTCGTCGAGTTATTTGCATTTGAATTCAACCATGCTCCAAAATTGCCTTACTGTTCGGTGCTGGGCGCTTATTACCTCAAAATGCAAAATCGCCCAAAATCACCGACATTTCATTTTTAGGTAACAGGCGCCGAGCACCGAACAGTAAGGCTATTTCGGAGCAACGTTGAATTCAAATCCAAATAACTCAGCGAATACTTGACCGATTTTCATAAATTTTGCAGCAATGGTTAGAGGGAATTCTGTAGCTTTATTACATGCTAATGCATTACATATATACATGTGTTATGTAAGAGAAAATTAGAATTATGTGAAAGTTAAAAGATATGTAAAATATCGAGTACTTTTTTTGCTAAATGCAAACAAGGCAGATTGGACCCATTGGTCCACTACTTCCAGTACCTCCCCCACAAATGTTCAATATTTATAAATCCTATTTAAAGCGAATAAATTTTGCATTAATGAATAGAAGAAAATGTATAGTTTTATTACATATTAATGCAATACATACATACATATGTTATGTAAGAGGAAATTAGCATTATGCGAAAGTTGCCAAGTTTACAGAAAATCGGCCATGTCTTGGATTCTTCATCGCTTTTGAAAGTGAAATGATATGAAAATAAGTAAAATGTATATTAACAGCTTAGTACATCCTCCATCTTATAGTGGAAAATCCTTCTGGTACCACCCAAACAATCAGTTATGTATCAAGCCGTCAGCTGTTGAAGTGATCTATTATTTTTGTGGGGAATAGCACAGGCTGTCCAAATCGACCATATTGCTCTATTTGCATTTAACACAAAAAATAGTCGTTATTTAAAATATCTTTGAACATTCACATAATGCTAATTTTCTTTTATATAACATAAGTTGTTATATGTATTGTCAATATGTAATAAAACTTTAGAATTCCCTCTAACCATTGGTGAAAAATTTATAAAAATCGGCTAAGTATTCGCTGAGTTATTTGCATTTGAAATCAGCGGTGAACCGAAATACCCTTACTGTTTGATGCTGGGCGCCTATTACGTGAAAATGAAAAATCGTCCAAAAATCGATCTTTCAAAAATGGAAGAAAGTGTGGTTTTTACAAGATCGATTTTTGGGTGATTTTTCATTTTTTGGTAATAGGCGCCCAGCACCGACCAGTAATGATATTTTGGAGCAACGTTCAATTCAAATGCTAATAACTCAGCAACTACTTGACCGATTTTCATAAATTTAACATTAATGTTTAGAGGACGTTCTATAGTTTTATTACATATTTACATATTACATACATATATAAACTTATATTATTTACGAAAAAGGTATATGAAAGTTAGTATATATGGAACATGTCTACTATTTTATGTTAAATGTAAACAAAGCTGATTTTTTTTTTGAAAATATAAGTCCATGACATAGTTCCCATTTTATTTCTGGGCTTGTGAAGACCCTAACTGTATTTTAATGTATATTTTTATGGTCCTTATTCCAGGATGAAGTCTTTGGACATTAACTACGGGGCTTGACTATTGTATTTAAATTTATACAGCGACATCTACATCGTTGAGATCAACTTTTGCCAATACCAAAAATATTGTAGCAATGACACAAACCGTTGATAATTACGACTTTACGATATATTGACAACTTTTACAGAATATGCCAGTTTGGTGGTACTTTTATCATTTGTTATCTACATAGTTATAACACTTACTAAATATATCAGAAATTAAGTATGCTAAATCGGTTTGTGTTTCAGCTAAGTATCTACATTTAAAATCGGATTATACTTTCGTACGCAGTATTGTCGTAACTGAAGTCTACATCCATTCTTTAATCGAATCTATGAATTCAAATCAGAATGTCATTCAAATTTATCGTGGATTTTATCGTATCATTTCGAAATTTGAGGACCGATAATTTAAATGAAGTAAAATTCAAAAATGCATTTTTTTCGAAGGGGATAATATATTATTTATTTTTTGTATTACATTTTAGCATTTTCAAAATAATACTATTTTTTTCCTATTTTTACAGGTATCAAGATACAACACAATGTTTTTTAATCAAGCTTAGACGCCTTTTCACTACAAAAATTCTGCGAAAATACCAGGCAACGTCTCAATAAAGAATGAAGAAGCTTTGCGAAAACCTTAAATCCAAATTTGTATATAACATCTTCAGATGGCATTCCGATATTCAAGAGCAGTGGATTCTTTGTTCCATTTATCCGCAAAATCTGATGTTACAGACAGTATAACACCACAACTACCCTATGTACAAGGAACATTTACTGCCCTAATAGACCCTAAACTCCAAAATATTATTACAAATTACATATTTAAATATTTTTTTTCAATATACAATTTTGATTTAATTCAATAAAAAAAAAACTAAAAAAAAACAAAAACCTGACTGTTCTTATTTTTGCACATAAATGGGTAAGTAAAAGGGACAAAAATCTGACTAATTTTGGTCGATGACGTCACACTTAACCAAAAGTGCAATTTCCCCAAATTTCTGAAAAATACCAGGCGAACAGAATTTGGCAGCAAGTAGCGCGCCAAAAAAATAAAATTACAAAAAATTTTGGTCTGGCAACACTATCCTAAAAGTTAGTATGAACAAAATTCAGAGCATACTTTTAGGCGCAACCAAAATTTTTTGATTTTTTTGCGGGGGACACCTACTACTACGGGCAGATTCTGGGCGCCTGGTATTTTTTCGTGTTTTCACACAAAAAATGATTTTTTGGGGATTTTTTTTACTAAAAATCATTTTAGGGAATCATTGCGCCTAAAATACGAAAATACCAGGCGTACAGTATTAGCAGTAGGAGTCTGTCGCAAAAAAAAAAAATGCAAACAAATTTGGTGTTGCCATGTTGCTCAGACTTTTTACGGTGTTAAATTTTTTTTATTTTTTTGTTTGGCCAGTTACTTGCTAATAAATTCTGTTCGCCTGGTATTTTTGGGAAATTTAAGAAAAACCGCAATTTGTTCTTGGAAACTGTGGATGACGTCATAAGCCACATACGACCCATGCCAATTCCCCATACTTACTTGTATTACCATAATTTGAATAATGAAACACAGTTTTAACATTTTGTTATTGTTTTTTATTTAATATTTTTAAATATTTGTAATTGTAACAAGTAAATTCGGTACAATAAAAATTTAAATTAAATTAGGGCTAGTATTCATATTTGGGGTGGGTTTTTTAAAATTAATTTTTCTAAGGTTTAATACAAGACGTTGATATTTAGCACATTGGGCCACTACATGTTCCTCCATTTTTAATATTTAGCTATAGAGCTGGACAGTCTAGGGTTAATGACAGAGATCTAGCTCAAAAGTGACTATTTTTCAGAAGAGCAAAGTACTGGATTTTAATGTATGCGGTTGAGCTTTTAGGTCCAAATTTATTGATTTTCAGTTTTTATAGACGGTGGAAATTTGTCGATCCCAAATTGATAGCTCCTTTTTAAGCGGGCTTCTGGACTAAAACTGCATCTAAACAAAAAAAAAAAAAAACAGATTTTATATTATTATGGGTTTCAAAATAAAATTCAGAGTAAGGTCTATATAAAAGAGGGGTTTTATGAAAGTAATATTTGAGTATAATTCAAAAATACCCACAGTTCAGCAGTAGCGTCCATGTGTTTCTCGATGGTAGCACCCACGGGAATAACAAAACGTTTAATGTTCAAAGGCATGGTGGCTAGACATTTAATGGTCAAAGGCATGTTGGCAAGTAATTGTCTGAGTTTGGCCACATAACGGAATGGTAAGGTGCGGGTAGTCAAAAAGAAGATAACAGCAATGGCACCTAAAAATTCTGAGATATTTAATTATAATCAAAATTATTAAATCCAATCATAAGAAAACTTACCAAAGCCATGCAATATCTGACCCAACATTACCGTCAAGAAAAGCACCAAACCAAAAAGTGAATGGTAGATCGATTCCACCTCAATAATTTTGGCAGTAATCAAGAAGGCCACACCCAAGGGAGAAATCCTAAAATATTCAAAATATTTATGTGGAATGATATTCAAACTTGATTTTATATTAACATGACTTTTAAAATAAAATTCAAAGTACGGTCTATATCAGATAGAGGAGTATATGAAAGTAATATTTGAGTCTAAGTCAAAAATACCCATAGATCAGCGTTCTCCAATCTTGTATCGAAAATAGAATAGGGAAGTAAATAAAGCAATTTTTATTCAGTAGTGGGTTGTACCTACTTTATATCTTAGTTATGTTTGGATACGCTTATCCTCAATTTATCCTCCTTGCAATACCTTCAAAGAAATCCGATTATTTATGTGAATTAAATTTGTTACCATTTTATTTATTAATTTTATTAATTGTTGTTTGGTTTTTGTTTTCAGTGAACATAGATTATTTTTTTAAACTACACAACTAGCAAAAAATATATATATGATTATTATATTGTTTGTTTTTTGTATTTGTATTATTTTTTTCTTTGTTATAACAATTTTTGTATGAATAGCCACAATAAAGTGGATAACAATGAAAATGTTTTGTTTTTTCTTCTAACTTATTATCAGATAATATCACCAATATTTTTTCTGTTTTGTTTTGTAACAATTCTAATGTAAAATTGGGCAAGTGGATTCCCATCATCCTTGTGCCACTGACAAGGACGTGCATTACAATAATGTTTTGGCTTTTTTGTTTTGTGCGGTGGATTATATCGTTTATTTTTCATGGTGGATTAATCTGCCTTGTATATTTATTGTCATTTGTTATATTTTTGTATATATGAATACTTATACTATTAAGTATTTACACAATAGAAAGGAAACAAAACATGGATATATAATAGAATTTGTATAATTTGGCTATATAGTAGTAGCTGTGGTGGGCGTGCAAATGATAAATGTGAGAAGTTATTAAAAATTGGATTTTTTCGATTTTTTTGTTTGTTTATTATTTTTTTTTTATTAAATTGAACTTAATTTTGGCCGAAATGTAGTATACAAATATATTATAAATATATAGATATAAAAAATACAATGAGAGTTTAGACCAATCATGAGTGTTTTTTGTATAAACTTAAAATAATTTGAGTTATTATTAAAAAAAAATATTATAAAGCAAGGGATGTTTCTTTTTCGAATTGTGATTTCCAATACTTGCTAGGGGTGTTTTGAAATTGTTGTTCTTCTTCTTCGTGTGGGAGTTACTTAAAATCTAACATTATTTTTGCTAAATCTGATTAGATTAATTTTATCGGGGCTATAGCTATTACATTGAATTGTGTATTATTTTTTCGCAACCAATTTATTTATGAAAATATTTACATTGTAAATATTTGGTCATGCTTTTAAATATTGAACAACAAATAGCAATGACATGGTGCATGGGAAGTCTGGGCCTCAATTCCAAATTTAGAGGAGATAAGCTCAGATCGAGAACTTCACCATGCACCTTTTCATCATCATTACATTTAAAGACTCTAAATCACTTGTTGTTGTTGCATTTGGTTTAAATTGGCATATCATATTGCTTTCAATTTGTATCTAATTTTTGTTTTGTATTCTTAAAGGAAATTCGTTAAACACTGATGTTTGTTTCATCCAATGGCAGCACTGGGGGGCAAACACATATTCGCATAAAATCTAAATTAGAATTACTTGGTTTTGTTATGGTGTTGTTGTTGCTGTTTCAAACACATTAGAGAAGACAAATTAGACGTGCTGTTTTTGTTTTTGGAATGGAGCGAACACATCATCTGTCTGTACAAAAAAATTAATGCTAGCACGTCGCTCTTAAGTTTAGATTACAATTAGATGGGGGCTATGATGTCCTTACTAAACTTGGCTACTATACGATAAGCATCTATTCCTTTTCATGGCCATTGGCGCCCAATTCTAACAGTTCATGGGGTTCGGCATTTAGCTAGAAAAAGGGTAAAGGAATAATAATTAAGGATATATTTAAGGAAAGTTATATTTCAAATTGCCTACCCTATCCACACTTGCCAGATCCTTCTTGGATAAGTGGTTAACTAAAATTGTGCCCAAGGCATCGCACATAACATTAATGGTGGTACGGAAACGATCACTGTTCAATAAAATACAAAAACAGATTTTGTTGATTTCGACATTAGAAATGTTGTCCATATACTTACAGCAACCAATCGACGGCAATGATCAGTGATACATCCTTAGCTGGCAGACCTACCGTATCCAATACCATAACCATGGTAACAAGACCAGCTTGTGGTATACCAGCAGCACCAATGGAGGCAGCTGTGGCTGTAATACTCACAGCCACAATATTGCCAAATGTATAGTCCACCTTTCTGAATTGGGCAATGAACAGAGCGGCCACAGCTTCATACAATGCAGTACCGTCCATGTTGATGGTAGCACCCACGGGAATAACAAAACGTGTTACACGTGGATCAATACCCATACCATCTAGACATTTAATGGTCAAAGGCATGGTGGCTGAACTGGAACCGGTACCAAAGGCAGTGGCAAGTACTTGACTGAGTTTGGCCACATAACGGAATGGTAAGGTGCGGGTACCCAAAAAGAAGATAACAGCAATGGTACCTAAAAATTGAAAGACATTTTATTATAATCCAAATTATTAATTCCAATCCCAAGAAAACTTACCAAAACCATGCAATATCAGACCCAACATTACCGTCAAGAAGTACCAACCCAAAGATTGAATGGTTGATGCAATCGATTCCATCTCAATAATTTTGGCAGCAATCAAAAAGGCCACACCCAAGGGAGAAATCCTAAAATATTGCAAATATGTATATGAAATAATATTCAAATTTGATTTCTTTCAAAGGGTGTTACTTACCAAATAACCCAGGATGTAATGATCATCATGGCTTCACTCAATGTTGAGAAGAAATCTTGCAACAATTGACCCTTCTCACGCATACGACCAATGGTGGTACCCAAAATAATACTGAACATAACCAAACCCAAGACATTAGAACCGTCACGTTTGCTTTCCTTGAAGGGCCACATATTAAGGGGTACTGGAAAGATATAGACAAAATTAATATGGAATATGTGTTATAAAATACAGTGGTCATACTTACATGGTTCAGTTGCTGTTTTATTTTCTTCAAGTTTGGTTTGGTACTAAAAGAGAAGCAAAAATAATATTTAAAGGTTAATATTTCCTATAAATTTAGACTCCTTTGAACGCGAATCAAATTATGTATGGACAAGTTTTGGAATAAATTTTTAGAGTGGAAATTAATTTTTGGACTAGCTGAAAAAATCATTTTTTATATATGATCTGAAAGAGAGAGCTCTTTATAGAATAGTTTAAGGAAGTCGGTGTAGACCATACTAGAAAAAGGGAACCAAAAACGAGGTTAATAGAGGAGCAGAAGGGAGTGGATATGAGTTGACAGGAGTCTATATAGTAAGGCTAAATTGAGTGTAGACGAGTTAAAGCCAGAATTTATAGACCAGCTGATGACAGTCTTTATAAACGAACTGAAGAATACAGTATTTCGTATTAGCTATTAGTTTTAGCTTGTAGATTGTTTTTATACATCAGGTTAAGGGTTTCACTTATAGAAGAGATATCGCAAAGCTGAAGGGAGTCTTTATAGACGAGTTGAAGGGAATCTGTACTTCTTTAAATTGTCTCGTATATTACTGTCTCCTTTAGCTCCTCCAATGAAACATTTCGAGGAGAAGCTAAAGGAGACAGTAATATACGAGACAATATAAAGAAGGAACTTGTTCATAGGCAAGATGAGCCAAGGGTGAGGGTGAATAATCGAGCCAAGGTCTTTTATTGACGAAATGAAAAATATGTAATTGATGTGATGAAGGGAGTTCTAATTGATGAAACGAATACAATCTTAATAGACGAGCCGGATACTTGAGCTAAAAGGGTTCTTTCAAAGCCAACATATTCGCATTCTTTGAAGTTTAATAAACTTCGCATAATAGAAATTAAATAAAATTTAAATTTGTATACCACGAAATATTATGCTTACAAATTTCTCATTTCCGAAACCCTCTGATATGGTCGGTCATGAAATTCCAAAATTGTCATAATAAATCTCTATTTTTCTTTTGAAAAAAAATTTGCGTATAAATTAAATGTAAATTATGATGCTACGCTCAGTCATTATGTTCTATTGTGGCGATAAACAGGCGTATCTTTAATTAAATCACCAAACAAATGTAAATGTCAACGACACAATTTTTGAAGTTTCTTTTGACCGGTGACGGTCACTTGAATCTTTTTTTATTTTGTGATAATTCAATTTTTGCTAGAAAACAAATTAAATCTTTTCAAGTGAATTTTTGTTTTGTTTAATTTTTCAACAGGGAAGATAGGAAAACTACCCTAGCTATTGTTGCTGATATTGTTGCTCAACTGGCATATAAGAAATTTGTATGGCATAGATCGCAAGACCCCTTAAACAAAACGTCATTAATACGCACTAAACTTCGAATCTAGCAAAGATAGAACGAATGAAAACGAAATCACAGTCTTTAATTGATTGATGGGTTAGTTCGTTGGTTGGCGGATGGGTCACAGAGTCATCACACACACTCTGGTCAGCACGAAAAATGTATCATGATCATGATCTCCTCGGTACAAAATTTAATCAGATAATAACAGGCATCAATGTGATAAGAGGTTATGCGGAGGGTGGCTCATGTCCAATTGTTTGCAAAAACAGAAAAAAAACACAAATACGTATAATCGTGTCAAACAACATAAAACAAATGTGTGGACTTGGAAGACCATAAATTGAATGATTGCTTGTGACACCATCATCGTCAGCAGCAACAACAACATTATTATCATGTGTTTGAAAAACACCCTGACAGAACTATGGGACCTCCACTCACACAGAAAATGTTAACGTTGATGGTTCATTACATTCCAACAAAGACTTTTTAAAGTAGATATTTCCGATTCGATGAAAACAAATATTCAGTTTTTTTGACATACCTGTTGTAAGGTTGCTCCCACAATGTTATCGGTGAACATATTTCTGGAAAACAGAAGAAAAGGTATCTTTGTAGAAATTGTTTATTTATTTAAATGATTATTAATTGACTTACCTTACTAAATCCATAAGAGTATCGGGTGTCATAACCTTGGAGGCTTCTTCGCCGGTCTTCTCTGATCTTTCACTGGTAACAATTTGGGCACCATCACCGGGCCTAATTGTGGTCACCAAACAAATACCCAATATCACAGCAGATATGGTTGTTACAAAGTAATAACAAATGGCTCTGGAATAAGGAATAAAGAAGATTAAGTTAGGTTTTTATTATTAAGAGTAAAGATGCGTTATAGATGGCAAATGCAAATACCATTTTTTCAGGTCAAAATATTTTTTTCATTGATATAAATATGAAATCAAAATTTCTAAGTTCGAAAATATAGGAACATTTTCAGAAAATGTTGAGCAGATCTGCAGAATTTGGCGTAATTTTGTAAAGTACGAAATTTTGAACATTAAATATTGATTTAATTTTTGTCACATAGGTTAACTCGCCTATACTTCTATATTCTGAGCCTGGACAATATTTCGCGATTTTTGCACCCTCTTGACCGATTATAGGTCAACAGCTCCTCTTTCTAACCCTGGCTTATTTTCCAAATCTTGATTTCCCGAGGTAAATATTTACGCCATAAAAAATTGTCACTTTAGGTTTCGGTTGATTTGATCCTCGGGATATTGACCGATCATTATCAGAACAGCCGTTGTAAGTATTTGGTCAGATTCCATTCACTGTGTAAAATATGTGATGTTCGGCATATAATTATAACGACTAAAAAATCCGACAAAAATAAAAAAATTCACATAATTGGTATAATTTTTTTGGTATAAATTTACTATCAACTTCTCGAGTCTATGTCCTTCAGGAGTAAATATATACGCCCCAGAATAAAATCATTTGCAATTTTTCAAACAAAAGTCTGGGGTCATTTGTCCCAAAAATATTGACCGATCTTCATCAAAATAACCATGCCATTGTGGCCTCTAAAGCGATCAGAAAAACAGACAAAATTAAGTTTTTGGTCCATTTCGTCTCCTAAATAATAACCCATCAATAACAATAGGAATCTTCTTACGCCACAACCCGTCCTACAATCAACATTTCGTTATGATTGGCCCATAATTGTGGCCTGTATCAAATTATAATGGACGGACGGGTGGATACAAATATCTAGATCGACTCAGCTAGTTGAGATGTGACAAAGGAGTGGGTCTAGGACCAATATTTCGCAACGTTACAAACTCTTGGGGCAGCACAAAGCCATAATACCCTGAGGGTATAGAGGGATAAACAAATATGAAATTCTACTAAAGTAAAAATACAAAAAAAAAAATGAAGTTGTGTCTGGAGAGGTCTGCGTTATGAGGTTTATATAATAAATACAACTCAGACCAATAATTAGTTGTATATTCGGTAAAACCCACAAATGTTGGATTACATTTAAAAATAAGGATTTGAGGCTATATCAAAAATTGGTATTGTTGTAAAATGTTACTCGACACCCCCAACACCTAATTATAAATTAAAGTTTTTTTGAAAGTGATTTAAGTCCATCTTAGGTTATGATACTAATCTTGTTTTTTAGAAAATTAGCAAGTAATACTTGGAACTATAGGGGGTTTTTACTAATTGAAACTCGAACTATAAAATTCTGGCTAATTCGGTTTGAGAACAACGCTCTGGCATTTCGTATATTTTAAACTAAAAAGGTCGTCTCTTTAACAATACTGATTATATTAGGAGTAATATAAAATTCAAAAACTGTATATTGATTTCATCTTACAGAGTATGGTTAAATTTACACAGAATTTGAAACCTCATATTCACAAGAATTTTCATCAAACACAAATATCAATTTACAGTTTATTATTCAACAAATATCATCACTTACCTTGTGGCAATTTTGCTGGACATGCTTAAATCCAAACCACCAATGGCACTGGTAATTGAGGACACCAACAATGGCACAATTAAACATTTTAACATTCTAGGGAATACAGAAAATAAATATTTATTTTTTGATGCTTGAAGTAAGGGGTTCAGCATCCCAACTTACCTTAAAAATATTTCACCAGGAAACGATATATACATAATCTCTCTTTTCGACCATTCGCCAGTTGAATTTTTTATAATAAAACCCACCAGACCACCGGCAAAAACACCAATCAGTGTAAGGATGGTTAAGAGATTTTCGCCCACAAAACCGCGACATTTCGATTGAAGTTTTGGTCGCGTCATTTCAAATGCCTTTTGCTGTTTTGCTTTGTTGGGTGGCAAACAACGAAGAAGAAGACGAAGAATAAAATTTTCGTAGGTCTAGACTTTCAAAGTCGAGTATAATTTAAAAATTAAACGAAAAAAAAATAAATTAAAATAATTCTAAACACTTAGTGTTAAAAAATAATTTATTGGTATAACCAAGCACTGCTATTGTGTTTGTTGTTGCAATTTTTTTCCACAGGATCTAAAAATAATAAAGAACAAATATATGTTTTCAATTAATGTATTTGATTGACACTTTAATTAAAAGAAATATATCCTTAAATTTATTTTAATTATTTTGTTTTTTATTATTTATTCGATTAAGACTTCAATTTTTAAAAAGAAATATCCTTAAATTTATTTCAATTATTTTGAGAACACATACAATACAAAATCAACGCGTGGTTTCTATATTAAAAAAATATGCGGCTCTGTAAGTTTGGCGAAAAAATGTTCTAGATACACGAACGTTTGAAAATCAACTAATTCGGATATATGCTTAGCAGTGGCATATTTCACAAAAATGTTTGACAAAATCCATTGACGCTCGTTCGGCGATTCTAAAACAAGCTCTCTCTGGCGTAACCGAGCTCTCACACTCAGATCATTTGCAATTTTTGTAGCTTTTTTTAGTAGCAACCCCTATTAAAGTCTAATAATTATCTCTCTTTCCCTTATACACTCTCATCAAATAAAATAATCAAATCAAAAGCTTTTGTTTGGTTTGCCGATTTTCGTTGTCTCTGTTTTTTGTTTTTCTGTTTTGTTTAATTCATTCAGACATTTGCAACTTCATTATGATGTTCATGATCGTCGTTGTAATAGTTGTGTTGAATGAAGATACCACACAAATGGTTGAGATCACGTTCAAGTTTAAATATGCGAGCGGAATGCGAACGTTGTAAAACAATGCACACGCACACACACAACCAACAAAAACAATCAACCGGAAATTGTCGTAAAAACAAACACGCATGTGGTAGCCCCCGTAAAAAGCACTCACTCTCCCACTTACATTGCAAAGCAAAACCAAAAGCCCAACTAACGTTTGTGATGAAATGGATGGATGGATAGATGGTTGGCCCGCAGTTTGTATTACCTTAACCAGTATAATCATCATTTGATTTTTCTCTTCTTCGTCTTCGTGTAGTGGGACTAGCACAATAGATTTTTTGTTGTCTATGGATGGACCCACAACAAAACAAATAACAACAACAAATTCTACGCATTTAATCAATAAAATACATAAAACACACACACTCACATACATCCACTTGGCTGTCTGTTTGTAATTTGGTTTTATTAAAACTTTGTGATAGATTCATTGACTATGGCGGCAAGCCATTGAGATCATCATTATGCCCGTTTGATATCAGTGTAAAACAACAACAACAACAACACCACCAACATATTAACGCCAACAACAAGACCAACATCATAATTAGTTGTTTTGTTTACTCTGCTCAGTCAAAACGACATGTGAGGAAAATAGAAGAAGCTTAGCCATACGAGGCATGTCGCCCAGTAAACAATCGATTTATGAATGAATCAAACATTTTTTACAGTGTGGTGGAAAATTGAAGAAGGTCTACATAAAATTTAAATTAAAGATATCATTATAATGTACTAATTTTTATGAAAAATATTTTAGGATAACAATATTCGAAACAAGAAATTATGTTCGTTCGGGTCCATATTTTATATCCTCCCATATTACACGTTAAAGAAGGGAAATTTTTCATCCAAGTCCATTTTTTATATCCTCTACAGATACATACCCTCAGCCTAGGGTTTACGAATGTCTTCGGTATTACACACATGTTTTATTATTCGCTTTTTATAAGGTATATGGTTTAATCAATGATGTTTTGGATTTCATGTTGATCAAATCGGTTATTCTATTTGCTTCAAATTAACTGAAGGTTATAAAATATTAACCCATTGTGAGGGAGGTATCAGAAGGAGTGGGCCAATGGGATCCATTTTTGCACTTGATATAGGTTTGGTAAAAATAATAGGTTGCGCAAAATTTGGTTCATATCGGACATTCCATTTGCGGAATATTGGATTTATAAATAGTGAAAATTGTGGCTCTTTGTGGAGGAGGTACCAGAAGGAGTGGACAAATGGGTCCCATCTTTTAAATTTATATAGGCTTGGTATAGAAAATAGGTTGTGCAAATTTTGGTTCAAATATGAAATTCCTTTCGCCTTATATTGAATTTATAAATAATGACAATTTAGACCCTTTGTGGGCCATGTACCTGGAATAGTGGAACAATTGGTCCCATCTTTGGACTTGATATAGGCTTGGTAAAGATAATAGACTGTGAAAAATTTGGTTCAAATCGGACATTCCATTCGCCTTATATTGAATTTATAAATATCCTCCCCCAGAGAGGTGCCTAAAGGGGAGGACCGACTGGTCTCACCTTCGGACTTGATATAGGTTGGGTAAAGATAATAGATTGTGCAAAATTTGGTTCAAATCGGACATTCCATTCGCCTGATCTAGGATTTATAAATATAAAAAATTTTGACCCTTTGTGGAGGAGGTACCAGAAGAAGTGGACAAATGGGTCCCATCTTTGGACTTGATATAAAATAAATGTTACGTAGGACGCATACTTTTTTAATGCACGTCCCTTTTCCATTCCTCAGACAAGCATTTTTGAAATAAATAAATAAAATTGATTGTATACATATTATTTCATAAAATGTTTAAATGGTATGTGCAATAGATGAGTAGAATTGGAATAAACATGTATTCCATGAACGCTTTCATATTTTGGTGTCCCCTCTCTTTGTATGATACACACACACATATCTAGTATTTTTTGCATTATGAAAGGCCTTCATAAAAGGCAGAAATTTGAACATTTTTTGAATACTATTAATGAAATACAAGATTTTTTCTGTGTAAGCTTCAAATTGCGTAAACTAAGGTCTATTTTATTTTGAAGCGGATACTTTTTTCAACATAAAAATAATTTTACGTAGGACGCATAATTTTTTTATGTCCCTTTCCCGATCTTTAGACAAATATTTTTTGAACTAAATGAATAAAATTCTAAAATTCCTCTCTCTCATACACACAAATAACTAGTATTTATTGCATTATGAAAAACTTTCATAAAATGCAGAAATTTGAACATTTTTTTAACACTATTCATTAAATACAAGCCGTTTTTTGTTAGGAAAGCCTTTAAAATACAGAAAAATCAGAGGAAGATATGTCGAAACATTGTAGTACGTTTTCAATATTATCCGCAATGATTGTGCAATTGTAGTGCTCCAAGCTACCTACCTATTAAGAACCCAGAATTTCAAATTAGAGCAATTTCGGATGTGAAAGGTATCTGAATCATAAATCGGGTCTTAAAACGGGGGTTATGTTACAACGGAGTATTGGCATATATGCAAGAAGAGAATTCGAAATGTTAAATCATAGCCACTTTTTTGAAAATTAGGACTAAAAATACCTAAATTCGGATGATTTATATTATATGAGATATATTTCGATATGTCGAGTGCCTTCAAAATACATGCCTTCGAATACGATTCTGATTAAAAATATATGATTTATGGGGTCAATTCACAATTATTTCGGAGACCTAGAAACGAAATGCAAATATTATATAATATAAATTTTATGGTGGAGAGAAAAAATTAATTTCAGTTTAAGTTAAAGACATACAACAATTCCTTTACTTTTCAAGTTAAACATTTTTTCAACACAATCATATTTTACCCCAACATTGCAACTTAGTGCAACTTTTTGTATCACTACCACAAAATACCTTCGATGTTTATTTTTATTGAGCCATTTTTTCTAGTTTTAACTGGAAACAATACCAATTTTGCCCCCGACTGTTTATTTGGCGCGAATGGTTCAGCATGTACTTAATTCATTAACATAGAACTTGTAATAGAACATGTAAACATTGAACATATCCGTCCATAACCAAATGCGGCACAACCACTTGCAAATTAATTACGATATTGTGCGATGACACAATGAGTAGGAAGGTGAGTGAGACAGCGGGGGAAAATTGTGTTTTTTTGGCGCTTTATTTGTGTATAAACTATCACTGACATTAAACGAAAGTCGAGAAGCTCAACACAGGGTATTTATTCACGATGGGTGATGGGTATTTGACACTTACCCATGCCTGTGATATGGATGAGTGTGCCACAACGATGATGATGATGGTGATATGATGGCGGAATGATAGTACACATATATTTTGTATGTATGCTATGTGTGTGAGCGGCATTATCAATTAATATTTTGTTGTGTGTTTTTTCATTTTTTTGGTAGAAATTCAATAGTTTAACATCATGATTAACTTGACCTTAACATAGTTTAAGTGCTAATGATAGGGAAAATTGTGCGGTCGACCAATAGACGAGACCCAGCAATGGTTGTAAATTTGTTGTGCTAGGACGTATAAAGGTTCCGAACGAAGCAATGTTGCATTGTATTTTTTTGGGCTATCAATTTTCATATTTAATTGTCTGTTAGTTAAATTGTTGACATTTTGAAGGTTGCTTTAATTTAAAAAGAAATGTAGTTAATAAAGAAGAAATACTATTTATTTGGCAGGGTTGTAGTAATTGAGGGATATATAAATGTTACTTAAATTAACAGTGAAGGTGAAACAACAAAACTCACAGTTTCAGAATCTTTTTAAATAAATATTTTTAAAAACGAAAATTCATACACTTTAAAAAATTCCGATTTGAAGAAATCGAATTCTTAAAATTAAAAAAAAATTTTTTAAATTAAAAAAAATATTTTTTACGGTTTTCTAGGAGAAAAATCATGTTATGATAGGACCTTGAATATACCGAAAAAGGTATTGAAAAATTTTGATATACCTAATAATTTAAAGGTTTGTGTATTATGGGGCTATACAAAAACGTCATTTTAATTCTTTATTTGAGGGTTGGTTTAATATTAATAATCTTTAGTACAAGGATTT